CGTATAAATGGTATGTCTACGACGTAAAGGTGGAGGTTCTCGCCCCTTCTGGTCGACCGATGGCGAATGTATATGTAATGAAATGTATATGTATATAATATGTATCTTAATATATAAATATCTTATGTCATGAAGGTCGTCATCAACATCTTTTTGCCCTTAACCCAATTATTTAATTTTTTTTATACAACTTAGAATGGCGAACAAGCTGACGGCCCACCTGATGGAAAGTGGTAACAGTCGCCTATAGACATGAGCAGTACCGTGGACATAACAGAGTATACTGTTTCGCCCATGATCCCCCTCATGCGTTGCCATTCCTGAGGACTCAGGTGTTATTCCTTTGTACCCAGTAAATTCACGCCATATCCCACCGTTCAAACTGAAACACAGCCATGCAAACACAACTACTTCACGGTTGAAACACGAATGGGACAGAGGTACCCAAGCAATCGACTTTTGTACAAAGTCTCCCTCTGGTAAATTTAATGATTCTAAGTGAATGATTTTATTCATATTATTATAAGATTTTGACTTTTGGTTGAACGATTGACTTTTGTTGACAGTATCTAATGCTTACGATATGGAGTTAAAAGTAGGGGGACATTTAGAGTTAGTAAAGGAGTTTTTAAGTATAATGAAAAATGGAATAATACAGTGAAATTACAGGGTACCGAGGTATAACACTTAAGACCTTAAGTATGGTAACGTATGGGGGTGTCTTGAGTGTTACTTTTACATTATATAGTAAAGCATTGAGTGTTAAAAAAAGGTCAAAACTTGTGTCAGATAATAGCTGACATACTTTTTTTTTTTAATATAAACAAAATACGTTTTTTTCAGCATTGCAAGTAGTTATATTAAAAAAATTCAAATTAAGTCCATTTTTTAGTTCGATTTTGGAACTATTTTTTCTATCAACGAGTATCTATCCTATTTAAGAGCTGCGCTCTTGTCGGTGGAGCTCTTACCACTCACTACGATTTTCAGCGAGTCTCTTAACCTCTTGATACGACGCGACACCAACTCCTTCCTTGATCTGCCTGATGTAACTATGTCTCTGTCTCCCTCTTCCCCTCCTTCCTTCTATCTTACCTGCTATTATAATGTTCATAGGTTCGTCGTGTCGTATCAAGCGTCCTAATATTTTTCCCCTTCTGTCCTCAATAGTTCTAATAATTTGTCTTTTTTTTCTTAACCCTAAGCAGCACCTTATTGCTAATTCGATCCCTTATTTTTCTAATATAATATGAATATGTAACGTATTGATTACAAATTAATATAGATCTATTATGTAATGTATTACGTACAAATTAATATACATGTATTAATTAAAATGACGGCCATTTTTAATGATTTAATGATAAAATATCACATATTTACGTCTATATTTAGATACAATTAAAAGTATATTCGTAAGTATAAATACTTTTATCGTTTCATATTTTTATATATTTTTCAATTTGACCTTAATATATGATTTCTCGCATATACTAAGCGATAAATGTGCATTATAGTAACTATATTCACGCACAGATTAATAGTTAAGTTTATATTATTCTTAATTTCGTGTATAATATAGTATATATCATATATGTGTAAGTATATTTGTTATTCATATATATTTATTCGTATATATGTAATTTTAGTATGTATATCAATAATTAGTAGTACTACATTCGAGTATTCTGACACTGCTCTATGGTTGACTGGGAGAGAATGCTTTTAGCATTAAGTCCGCCATATACACATATTTGTACTAATGAATAAATAAATAAATAAATCACTAAATAAAACATGTTTATAGCGAAACATTTGTATATATTGTACACTCTATCTATATACTTGAAAGTGTCACTATGATAGTCATGATCCTGTTCATATCTACAGGTGAAACTTACAACTTTGTAATAGGCCATCCTACTTGCTGGAAAATAAATCGTTCGAAAAGAAAAACAAACTGATGGCAGTCTATTTTCCTTTTCGATATTTCAAGTTGAATAAAAAAAAATATTTTTTTAACAATTCAAGGGGCAAATGAGCATTCGGCTCATCTGATGGTAGTGACTACCGCCGCCCATGATCACCCACAACATCAACATCAACGGCATTGCAGATGTGCTGTCGACCTTTAAAAAGGAATATGCTCCTTTTTTGAAGGTTATGATGTCGTATCGATCCGGAAATACTGCTGCTGGAAGTTGATTCCAAAGAGTGGTTGTGGAAGAAAGTGCTTTGAAAAACGCAGATATATATCATATTTTACTGTATATGTTGGTGAATGATAAAATACAAACATTAATAGTGATGTATAGTTGATTCGGTGCGAAGGAATTCGCGCATAGTTCCCAGTTGCTCCGGGCGTACGCTTCAAAGAGCTGCTCGATCGCGATAACTACCTCCAATGGTTCAGTACACGGCTTTATGCAATACTGAAACATTTTATTTCAAAGTAGTTTGCTTGGGCACCTCTGTCCCATTCATGTTTCTACCGTGAAACAGTTGTGTTTGCATGGCTGTGTTTCGATTTGAAGGGTGGGATATGGCAGTGAATTTACAGGGTACACAGGAATAACATCTGAATCCTCAGGAATGGCAACACATGGAGATTATCATAAGTGAAACAGTATACTCTGTTATGTCCATGGTACTTCTCATGTCTATAGGCGACAGTTACCACTTTACATTAGGTGGGCCGTCAGCTTGTTTGCCATTCTAAGTTGCATAATAAAAACCTTCCTCTTTCCAATATCATACCACGAGGATGGACCAGTGACTGCATTCCTATACAGTAGACCGCCCATGCTCGACTTTAAATTTGCGAACTCTTTCATAATCTGTATCATAATACAATGGAATGGACTTTCCTATGACTTGTTTTCTTCGCCCTATAATCTCGGATTCTTTAAACATAGCGTGAAAAAGCACTTAGTGAGTCAAATTAATGTGGCCAACTATTGAGAGTATGACATTCTCAATAATAACTTTGCATGTTGATAAATGGTCACTATAGTCTATGTCCGCCTGCAATCAGTTAGCCACCACGTGGAGGTCGACCTGACAGGGTACATTGTTAGCAATGGGACTGGTAGTGTACATTACTAACAATCTGGGATATGTACTTGTACATTGACCGGGATAAAACTAAACTATTCCCTCCATCCCATATAGTGTGTGTTTGTTATCTCAGAACTCCCTAATTTGATAACCGATTTGGATTTTTTTTTATTTGAAAAGATATATTTTCAAACTGGCTCCATAGAAATTTCAATAAAAACGCTATAATAGTTTGGTTATTTTAATCTAAAATAGCTGGGTCATGGTTATTGAAGCGTTACTTTTTGTGGATTTATTTATTTGTTTTTTATTATTTCATGCTCCATTCGGCATGAACTCGTCACATTCTCAGTGACCGCCCTCATAGCCTAATGGCCGGCGGCTAAATCTTCACATGTCGTACAATACTCGGTCAATGGTAGCTCTCTGTTCTAATCGCAAAAGTAGCTCCGTATTTACTTGGTCCTTTACTATCGTGCTCTTGCACACGTGAATGCAAAGAGATTTGTATGAGAGATAAGAGTGTTCGGTTCAGTTAGGTTCAATAATAAACATTTATTTTATATGTACACACTATTTTTTATATAAATCATATAGTATGGTGGCGTACTATCCTGAGCGAACACGGTACTTGTGGACCGCACTCATGGAACATGGTCTATGAAAGCAGTCAACCGAAAAGAGAATGTCTTTTTTCTCTTGCTCTCTCTTTCTCTCTCTCTCTCTTCGGTTGACCGCATTATTTCGGCTCACTAAGTGTTTTTTTCATGTTATGTTTGATTTATTTGACTTGTTTTATTAATTGCAAATTATTATGTTACTATAACATGAAAGTCATAATCCAATAATACTTAACTGGTCACAATTTGAAATATATGCTTGCTAAATAGCTTAGATAATCTCTCGTATACCTCTTTATCCACATTATGGTACTGTTTTATCGACATTAAGTTGACGCATTGATCCGTTGAGGGCACTGCTGGTGAAGATAAAATAAATCTGTGGTCTGTTGCTTCTACTGCTATTTTGCCATACCTTATCAGCTGTTAACTCTCAACTGCTAAATAAAGGCCTCTCCCATAAGGGCGAATTTTGCCAGTAGTTGCCATGCCTGGCAGACGGGTTGGCAACTGTAGTTAGGCTGTGATGATATTTGAAAAGAGAAGTACAGCCCGCATCTCTATTATTATTATAAATTCATAAAAGTAATAAATTATCAAGAAACTTACTGAAGAACAGTTTTAAACAACAGGGGGCAAAGGAGTACGCGGATTACCTGATGGTAACTACTGCCACCCAGCCTGCTACACCGAAAAAGTGTTGCAAACCTTTAAAAAGGAATATATATTTTTTTATACAACTTAGAATGGCAAGCAAGCTGACGGCCCACCTGATGGAAAGTGGTAATCGTCGCCACAAAGTCTTCCTCTGGTAATGCCCTTTTCTTGAAGGTGAAGATATTGTATCAGTTCAGAAGTACTACTGTTGGGAGGTGATTTTAAATCATAGCCGTGTATGGAGGAACGTGTCTTGAAATGCTTACGGTTGAAGACCCTCTCTCATCCAGATGGTTGGGATGGAACTTTGATGTGCCAGTCAAAAGCTACTTAGTCCATTTTCCTACACCACTACTTGCCTTTTGTTTACGCAACAGTCAAATAATATTTTGTATTTACAGCCCTTAGTAATATTATAAATTTGAAAGTGAGTTTACATCTCGTACTTGTCGCCTCTTAGTGCAACTAACGGGTTAACCAATCAATATAAAATTTGATATAAGAAGTTTATATAATATAAAAAAGACATAAGCTCCTTATTATACTGGTCAATAAACATATCCTAGTCATGATGACAAAGTCGCTAGTAAAAATTATTAAATATGTGAACTTAATTATTTTAATACATAAACGGACCACCAATAATGTGATAAAAAAATACAAAGGTATTTCTAAATCTAATCTATTACTTTAATGATTATTAAGGTCGTAAATTCAATTGAATATCGTTTCATTATTAATTTAGTACAGTTTTATTTATTGTAATTAATATCAGAATAATAAAAATCAAGCATAGATCCCACCGAGTCTATGTTTTCAATTCAAATAACCAAATCTTCTAGCCTGTAGTATGAGTTCTACTATAGAATCCAAAGTTTCCTCGCCAGTCGGTAAGATTTGATTTGGTGGCAAATTGAACCCAAACTGACCCTGGTCACGGAGCTCGTAGCAGTAGACAAGAGGTACCTTTAACTGTTCCTTCACCCAGTCCACACTGCCGCCAGTGGCTTGATCTGAAATTAAAATATAGATACATGTTATATGCATATAGTTAACACACTGAATGGTTTTTTTTTTATTTATGGGTGAAAATGGATTAGTAACCCCGCCCGCGCTATTGGTATACACCGACGAGGCACCAGTGGAAGATGATAGGTGAGAATGAATGCAGGTTAGTTGCCCCCCCCCCCCCATGATGAATTGGAAAAGAATTAAACATGATGGTTTCCAGGGGGAACCGCGTGGAGGTCAACCTGAGAGGGTATATTGCCAGTAATGGGACTATTAGACCCCATTACTATCAATCCCTTTCCCATCACACTGAATGGTTATAAATACGTCTCTCTCTATATATTAATCTGTTCACTGCTGAACATAGGCCTCTCCCATAAATTATCATAAGAAACGGGAGCTTGGCAATCGCAGTTTGACCTTCGGTGATGTTTTAAGAAGGACGTTGCTGCCCATCCCTTGACCATTAAGTTCTCTTAGTCGACTTTTTTTACTCCTTACGACGAAAATGGTATCCTGTTGTAATGTATAAGTGCATATTTTGTAGCTATAGTGTGAGTATTAACAGCATGCTTGTTTAAAATTTTTATTTCGATTAAAAACAGAATTGTCAATTGATTAAAAAAAGTTCATATTTGCAATATAGAAAATAAGAGAGCAGAACATTTCCTTTTTTAGTTATAAAAGTAATTTTATATATATAGTAAAGAATACACACACACACACACATACACGTGTGTGTGTGTGTGTGTGCGTGTGTGTGTGTGCGTGTGCGTGTGCATGTGTGTGTATGTATATATTCTTTATTGCATTGTATATTACATTGTTAATGCATTTATAAAAGTTGTGACCAAGGGTGGACTTATCTCTGACAGAGGTCTCTTCCAGTCAACCCAATACAAGCATGTCGTTAGCGGACAGCTAAAGTGCTACAACTATTAATATTTAGAATACGGATTAATTACTACTTACTTACTTACAACTTTATCGATAGTAGATTTTAAATACCTATTCATTTTCATACTTGTATACTACATTCTATATATCTGGTATAAAATTATATTAAACAGTGACCTTGTGACGAAATAATAAACTTCTGATTAACATTCTATTATCTATATCTACTAAGATTAAATCATTCCAATTGCGCTATTAACATTCATAAGTACCATTTGCTACTTCTCTACACTTTGATTGCTACAAATATAATTTAGCAAATCGCATTTAGTTGCTGCATTAGAATTCCATTTTAGAATGGCAAACAGGCTGACGGCCCACCTGATGGAAAGTGGTAACCGTCGCCTATATACGTGAGTAGTACCATGGACATAACAGTATAGTGTTTTGCACATGATACTTCCTCTATACCCTGTAAATTCACTGCCATTATGATTACTCATCAAGAATCAGAGGGAGACTTTGTACAAAAGTCGATTGCTTGGGTACCTCTGTCCCATTCGTGTTTCAACCATGAAGCAGCTGTGTTTGCATGGCTGTGTTTCGGTTTGAACACGGTACAGAGGAATAACATCCGAGTCCTCAGGAATGGCCACGCATGGGGGGTATCATGGGCGAAACAGTATACTCTGTTATGTCCATAGGCTCATGTCTATAGGCGACGGTTACCACTTTCCATCAGGTGGACCGTCAGCTTGTTTGCCATTCCAAGTTGTATAAAAAAATCACTGTCGAAAAATAAGCGAATAGAGACATATTTCATTTTCAATACAGAACAACAGCAAGTGTGATTCTTTGCGAGTATACCATATATGTGAAATTTTATGGGTGAAATTACAGTGATGATTAAAAATCATTTTAAATAATGAAAATTAAAATGAGTGTTTATTTACAAGTGTAATTCCAATATTATTTGAGATTTTACTAATATTGGTTATGTTTATATAAAAAAAAATTATAATTTGCAAAATAAATTTCAACTAGAAAGCTGGCTTTTCACGTTACTGATTCTCAGATCAATTTTCTTTCTGGGTGTACGTTACGGGATATCTTCGTTTATTGGAAAATAAAATAATTCGCTATCAGTAGCTATTAATAATACTAATCATCATCATCATCATCTTCCTACCCTTATCCCAATTATTATTTGGGGTCGGCGTAATATGGTTTTATCTATATTACAAAAGGATTTAGCTTATAGTAATACGACCGGCCGCCTGCCTGACGTCAACCCTCTTTGGGAATTATATTAATAATATTAATATTCTCGTAAATTTAATGATTTTTATTTAAAACCAGCTTAATTTTAAAATGAAAAATGATTTTAAAATTGTTAACTTTTTCCCCGAACCGAGAATACAAAAGGAGTTTTTTTTATGTTTATTACCTCATAATTCTATCAATTAGTAATTGATTTAGGAACTTCTTCTTTTATCTCACAGAATATGGTTTCAGATTGGTCCCATAGAAATATTATCGAAATCGATTTAGTAGTTTAGTTTAGAAATCAAAATAATTGGTTTTGTCAAAATTGAAATCAGTATTTTTTGTGCAATACAATCTTGAATTGTTAAAATTGTTTAATAATGTAAAGTATTGTAAATAGTGCTACCAGTAATACTTACAAATAGTTTCAGCTATGTTTCCAGTCCTGTACATAGTTCCATACCTAGATGATAAAGCACCCATAGCTCTTCTGCCAATATTTACCTGAAATAAGTAATTGTAATGGCTGATACTTGGCTGAAAAATATTTCTTTACTAATAAATAGTATAATGTGTATACATATATAAGATATGTTTATACAATATATGCAGATCGTATGACTGCCTATTTTTATTTTTAAAATAACACAATCTACATGAAAAGGTTTTGCTGGAAGAAATCTCTTATTAGAGATAAGCTCGCCTTTGTACATTATGTTTACAATGAATTGTAATTACTTAATTAATTAATTAATTTATTTTATTAACATTATGTTTTGTGTACAATTAAGAATGTAAGGAGCAACTATTGATCCAACGCATTTTACTTGTTCCGAACAAAGACATGGCAATTTGTGACGTATTCTAAATAAGAAAGTAGATCTTTAATTTATGTTTAGGGTACGATGAGGCTGACATATCCTTATAAGATAAAAGCCTCTAAATAAAAAAAAAAACTTTAGTTTTTTCTTTACACTACTGAGGTGATGATTAAACAATGATACCCAATTCAGTTATTTTTAAAATGAAATATATATATCTTTTTACATATATCAGGTTTGTTTCATCATAACAAGAAAAGTTATTTTATTCTAAAATAGAATAACTAAATTTAAAAAAGATATTAAGAAAAAATAAAAATGAACCTTACCGCATCTCGATAATTAGCCAATGGCTCAGTGGAGTTGCCAAACGGCACCATAAAAAGTTGACCAAACGAATGGAAGGACAGATACACGTCTATTTGATTGCCTATACTTCTGATAAATGTGGATAAAGTTCTCGTTTCGGGCTCAGAGAATGGTCCCAGTCCAGGATAAGTTTGTGAATTTGGATTTGTGCTAGCACCAAATACTGTGGATAAAAAATACATCTTAGTGTCAACGTCATCGTCTTCCTATTCCAATTATTTGGGATCAGCGTAATATATTTTGCTTTATCATTGTTATTATAACAGCTGTTAACTGTCCACTGCTGAACATAGGCCTTCCCCGTAAAGAGGCTATTACCAATACATAATTGGCACGCTTGGCAGGCGGATTAGCAACCGCATTTAAGCTTGATATTTTTAGAGAGATGCTGCTGCCCTTCCCTCGACCACCAAGCTATTGATGATGAATTTAAATAATATGTAAATTTCCTTTAAGACTTTATGAACATCTTACGAATAAAATAATAAATAATATACAGCTTTCAATAAACATTCATTCCATTCTGTACCATCAAGTTCCATTAGTCACCTCTTACGACATCTATGTATGCACCAAGTTTAATTTAAATCAGTGCTTTTAGTAGTTTTTGTGTGAAAGTGCAACAAACATCTGACCATTTAACTTTACAAACTGCATTTATAAAATCAATAGGATTACCAAAAATTATTAAATTTTTTATTTATAATTTACCTAGCCAATTATTGTTCCAATTTCTGTTTAGGTCTACACCGTACGCATTGGCATTTATCGGCCGTCTGTTTTTGCGCCACATTCTATCCTGAAAAAAAAAACACATTTTCTTTTATGTTATTATAATTTTAGCCATTGTTCACTGATAAACATAGGTCTTCTCCTTATACAGAGACAAGGAACGGTCCTATATCATCTGCATTCACTGTTTCTCTGCAAATCATTTGAAATTGTCGCTCCGTTTAGTCTATATCGCCTACATTGCATTTGTCTGTAGTTTTTAATCAAGAATTTTTCTTCCCCGTCAGTTATTGGTTAATTAAGTGGTCGGCATATTGTCACTTAAACTTGTTATATTAGTAATTTTGGTTCTTCTGCAGATACCCTCATTTTAATTTTATCAATCAACGAAACTCTGAGCGTAACCCTTTTCGTAGCTCATCTGAGCAACTTGGGGCTTTTGCACATAACTAATAGTATAGGATCGTGTTTGGGTTCCATAGTCAACACTGGCACTAGTTAAAACTTCACTTTTAGCTCATCTAATAAAATTTGACAAGATAACGCGAAATAAAAGCGATAAAAGCGACTTTTTTTACAACTAATAATGCCAAACAAGCTGACGGCCTATCTGATGGAAAGTGGTAATCGTCGCCTATAGACAGGAGCAGTACCATGGATGTAACAGAGTATGTTGTTTCGCCCATGATACCCCCCATGCGTTGACATTCCACAGGTGTTATTCCTCGGTACCCTGTAAATTCACTGCCATAGCCTACCCTACCAATCGAAACACAGCCTTGCAAACACAACTGCTTTACGGTAGAAACACAAATGAGACAGAGATGCCCAATCAAACGACTTTTGTACAAAGTCTCCCTTTGGTAAGTTTGTTGTCTTAATTTGTAGTTTAGAACATTACTTACTGCTTGGTAGGTCCATTCATAACCATCAGGATTTGTTACTGGGAAAATGTACCAATCGAAATCACGTGCAATTCCTTGGACCTCAGAGTCATTGCTTGTTAATAACTGAGAAATGATGTAACACACTGTGGCCACTGTAATCCATTCTCTAGAATGTATTCCACCTTCGATAAATATAGCTTTTCTACCGGAACCGTGTGAAATTCTTACACCTCTGATATCTCGACCTAGATATGTTTCTCCTCCCTTGATAACTTCCACTGAGTCTGGGTATTGATATGCTAGATCATCTAACCACGCATTAATATCTGTAAGTTGGTAGTATCCATCCCATGTCATTGATCTAGTGTTTCTCCTTGTGTACTTTTTTACTGGTTCTTTATCAATCGCCCTGAAAAATAATAATAAGTTTTCTTCATTTTAAGAAATTAATATATCAAACCAATTCCATTATCAGGCCAACATAGAAATATTAAACGAATTCCTGTAATTGTTATTTTAGTACCAAAGTATATTATAAAGTTTAATGTTTTTGGAAATTCCCAAACGATTGTACAGTAATTTGTGACGAATTTCTCTTTCTAGATATTCTATTAAACAATTAGTAACAAAGAGTGTTTTAGATTGTATTGGTGATATGGTATGTAACAAATATTTTTATTATTTTTATATAATATGATATAATAGCTGCTACTTCTGATTTTCCCATGATTAAATGTCCTGTGTAATATATTCTATGAAATAGTCCAAATTAAACCCACATTCATTTAGCCATTTCCTATTGACTGATTTCAAATAAAGACAATTATTGAGTACCAGAGGGAGACTTTGTACAAAAGTCGATTGCTTCGATACCTCTGCCCCATTCGTGTTTCAACCGTAAAGCAGTTGTGTTTGCTTCTATAAACCACTTGAACTCAATATTCAAGATAACTAATAAAATAATTATTAAAATAAAAAAAAATACTTACTCTTGAATATTCAATACGGGAATATCAAATTTTATTCCGTGTTGCGTTAGAAAGTCTTCCAAATCGGCCTTGTCTTTTGGACTTGACATAACCGATACGAAATCAGCGTACGGCCCTGGATCTGTCCAGAAATCGTATCTGACGTCATTATTCTGTAGTTCTTGCAGCACTTTCAACTGAGTCTGATTGCTTGGTAAAATTTTATATAGACTGTAGTTGTCATATCGAACTTTTTCACACAATATAAATGATGATAGAATCACTAATATAAATAACGTAGTATATTTTAACATGTTGCTTCTATACGTTGACGATTTTAAATATTAATTCAGTGTATCAGTTCTGTCGTAATGTTATATCTTTAATCGTTATCAAATGTTACTTATAAGATTAATTTGATAAGTAATAAATTCCATTATAACTGATAATGTGTTTTGTTATTTTTAACCGACTTCAAAAAAGGAGAAAGTTCTCAATTTGTTTATATCTTTTTTTTGTTTGCTACCTCATAACTCTATCAAATGTAAACCGATTTGGAAAATTATTTTTTTATCCGAATGGATATACTTTTAGATGGTCCCCATAGAAATTAATTAGTAGTTTAGGTTATAAATGAAAATAACTCCTTTTTCCACAACTAAAGTACTTGTTTTTATGTGCAATAAAATCTTCAATTATTATATAAGATGTAAGGTCCTTTTGGTGGTAATATTATTGGATGCTAAAATACATTCACGTAATACAGTGCCCGTTAATATTAAACATTTATGTTTCCTATATCAAAAGCATCGCTTAGGATATGGTTTAAACAAATAATAATAATGCTGTTCCACTATTGGACACGGATCTTTACTTTAAAGATAAGGAACAAAATAAGCCAATAAATTTTCCATATACTCGTATAGGTGAAATCTATGAGATATGAACAGCAGCATCTCTCTTAAAACATCTCCAAAGCATAACTGCGATTTCAAATTCGCCTACCAAGAATGGCAACTACTAGCAAAACCACCTTATGTTCAGCAGTGGACAGTTAAAGGCTGATATGATGACGATGCCGTAGCGTCTTAGTTTTACGAATTCGCTTTCACTCATCATACAAATGATTTTTATTTATACAAGTGTAAATAAAAGACATATTTATCTTTATTTTATTTGTATATATTTATATTTGTCATAAATGTAGGAAAAATAAAGAAGTAAATTATTTCTTTCTTTTTATAGAATAAATTTTATTAATCATAAATTACATGCATATAACAGTAGCCAAATTCAGTATCTCAATAATACACTATAATATTATTTTATACTGTTACCACTATACCTCTAGTTTTTTAAATATCCAAATCTTCTAGCCTGATGTATTATTTCAAGAATAGAGTCCATCGTTTCTTCACCAGATGGCAGAATTTGATCAGCTGGCAATAAGAAGCCGTAAGTTCCACGATCTCTAAGTTCAAATGCATAGACAAGAGGAATACGTAGCTGTTCCTTCACCCAATCAACAGTAGAACCTGTGGCCATACCTGAAAAAAAACTTTATTAGTACTGGCATAAGATCTATATCGTTTCAACAATTACATGTCTCCTGCTATAAAGAGTTCCTCATAAACTATAATTAACAATACTCGGTGATCTTTATCCATTGATTCCCTGAATGACGGATGGACGAAGTCGCAATATAAGGTTTTTTAAAGAATATATTTATTGTAACAAAGATTGTATAGTTACAAATTATGTCCAAAGATAGACAATAGGCGAGCTTAATTCTGTAAGAGTTCTCTTTCATTAAAGCCTTAGCCTTAAAAGAGAGTATTTATTATTTTGTAAGAAACCATAAAAATTTGTGAGTAATGAAGTTTTATAAATTATACTTTGTATATAAGCAAGAATTTTGGCAAAAAAGTTAATATAAAGAATAAAAAGATATATAAATAGAAAAAAGACAAATAATAAAAAAATATGAATTAAATTACTAACTTAAATGTGACTAAAATTTTCATTAACTTATTAAAAATGTTGATAACGTTTGCTATGTAGCGAACACTGCTAGATTCGTTTCGCTTGTAAGAGTTTTATTTATATTTAACATTGTATTTCCCAATCAATTTTGATATTTATTTGTAATCGAAACGTTACATCTATGTTGATTTTGTAATGATCGAAATTACTGCTTTTTTGCAAAGTCATATATATATATATATGGGCTTCAATCGCGTAAATCAGTACATACAGTATCCTATGTTCTAAGATAGAATAGTTAATTTTGTGTGTTATGTATCTACTTGTGTATTAAATTTCAATCAAATTCGTTCAGTAATTTTTGCGTGAAAGAGTAAAAAACATCCATCCACCCATCCATTACATCTCTCTCTATAAACTGTTGCATTTATAATATAAATAGGATTATTTAACTTACGTATAGTCTCTGCTATGGTTCCAGTAGTGTACTGAGTTCCGTATCTAACGGAGAGTGCTCCCATAGCGCGTCTACCAATATTTAACTGAAAATTTTTTAAAATCGAATATATATTTTTAGGATTTTTTTTTGTCTGTAAATTATACGAATTCTTCACCAATTTTAAACAGACTGTGATATATTTTTATCAATCGATAGATTTAATAATTACATATGAAATTGTCACTACTAAGTTCGTTGGTTGGATTACGACGATAAATCTATTTGCCTCAAACAATCAAAACCTCAAAAATTTATAATTAATAAATAACTAAATTTTACTTTGCAAAAAAACACATATTATAGTAATCAATTTATTATTTATATCAATACTAATATTATATAAATTGGAAAGATTGTTTGTTTGGAATAAATAAATTCAAACACTACTCAACTGATTTTAAAATTTCTGTTAGAACATTAAAACAAGTACATTCAAATGTCCCGCGCCCTTCCATTCCATTCAACCTGTCAGCGAACGCGACCAATCAGAGCTACCCAAAATGACAATATTCGAGAAAAAACACAAATCATCAATGGCGGCCGTTTCGCGCGTTCAGAATAAAATAATCATAATTAAGGTGCTTCAGTTAGGCAGTTAGGCAAGTTTGTGGTTAAAAGTGAACCTAGGACGACCGATAACCCGTACACTTGTAGGCAGCTCCAGGCAGACTTCAACAAGAATATTCCGTAAGTCCTTACCTTTCTACATCTTGTCTGTACTTGTTTGTTTGTGCCGGTATTTTACAGCAGTAATAAAGCCCTATTATAAGTTTCTACAGTCCACTTAAATCAATTTTCATACCAATTTCTTTTACTTATAAAAAGCTAGATTATTAGCGAGTAACATAAGTTGTATATTATTTTCGAAAATTCTATCTATACCTGTGAGAAAACAGCCATTTTCCTTTTTCCTACCAACTTTTCCCCTGGGACGTAAGAGTGGAATTTTTTTCCACCTGTTCCATCATTGTGTGTCCAGTAGGGAAATATGCCACTTTTCCCTAGCGATATTTTTTTATAACATTAAGTAAAATTTGTTCTAAAATTATACTAGCCTAGATCACTAGCATTTTATAAAGAGTACCCACCGCATCGTAATAATTAGCCAGAGGTTCTGTTGAGTTGCCAAATGGCAACATCAGCAACTGTCCATGCGAATGGACTGATAGATATAAGTCTATCTTGTCACCAATCGTTGTCAGATAAGCTGAGAGCGATCTCGATTCTATTTCCGAAAATGGGCCCGGTCCAGCGTAGTTGTTTGACGATGGATTGCTACTAGCACCTTTCTCTGTTGATAGAAAAAAAAAATTATTTACTTTTTACAAACCGACTTCAAAAAAGGAGGGGTTGTCAATTCGGTTATATTTTTTTATGGTTGTTATCTTAGCATTTCCGTTATTAATAAACCGATTACTCTAATGTTTAAATTAGACCCAACTACTTTTAGATTGGATCAGACTTTCAGATTCATAATATTTTTATAAAAATGGTTCAATAGTTTAGTTTTTAAATCAAAAGAACTGGTTTAGCGACGAATAAAGTCAATGACTTGATCGTAAAACCGAATTCTTAATTTATATTTATCTATTTATTTTTAAAAACTTTACTTTTTTACGTAATCTATGATCAAGTAGGCAGTTAACAGTTAAATCCTTCTGGGGATACCCCCAGATTTTAAACTTTCTGTAGCCTATTATATTAACTCATAACTTTAACCTCATATGCTGATTAACTGTTGCCGTACAGTCTCGGCATAGAATAATCAATTTCTTTCTTTCCCATTAATGGCGTATGAAGTGACTAAGGGAACTTAATTGTCGAGAGTCGGGCAGTAGCGTCCCTCTTAATACATTACCAAATCCAAATTTTTTTTTTATACAACTCAGAATAGCAAACAAGCTGACGGCCTACCTGATGGAAAGTAGTAACCATCGTCTATAGACATGAGCAGTACCATGGACATAACAGAGTATACCGTTTCGCCCATGATACCCCCATGTATTGTTATTCCTAAGGACTTAGGTGTTATTCCTCTGTACCCTGTAAATTCACGCCATATTCCACCCTTCAAACCGAAACACAGCCATGCAAATACAACTGCTTTCCGGTTGAAACACGAATGGGAATGAGGTACCCAAGCAATCGACTTTTGTACAAAGTCTCCTTCTGGTGAACTACGATTGCTAACCTGCCTGCCAAGCGTGAGAACTGCTAGTGGACAGTGGACAGTTAACGGCTGACATAATAATGAAATAATGTTTTGTTTTAATTTTTTCACAATTAATTGCATTATAACATTAAAATCATCATTATTTATAGATTAAATTATTATTTTTTTTACTCCAAATATGTATTATATTATTTTGTAGTTTAAAATAAAATAAAAATATCCAAAGATAAATACTTAGCCAGTTATTATTCCAATTTCGATTCAAATCGACACCAATGCTATTGCCATACGGTCGTCTGTTTTTTCGCCATAATCTTTCCTGTAATAAATATATTTAAATTAAAAACAAAAAAAGAGAAAAAGTATAGTTGAATTGTCAACTTCCTATATCTATATATTATTATTGACTTTATCAGTTTGATCAACAATTAATCGATAATTAGGATTCTATTTAAACTAAAGCGTTTATTCCAATATTCGTTTTTGTTGATCACGAATATATAAATCTTAATACAATGGGGCGATTTTATGGTACAACTTCTCTAAACCACCATTAAGACTCACACTCTAAGCCATCTATCTGTGAAATGTTAATTTAAATTTGATATCACAACCAAATATTTATTTGAAGGATCAGTATGAATTAATAATTTAATTTGTCCCTTCTTCAGCACGTCGCCAAATAGGCGACGTGCTGAAGAAGGGACAAATTAAAAGTACCCGTAACCGGCGAGCGTGTATGACAAGATTCATGAATGTGGAAGAAGCGAAAGAGGTTTGTTTGAACCGAAGCATTTGGCGTTCCATTGTTTCTGCCTACCCTAATGGGAGACAGGCGTGACAGATATGTATGTATGTATGTATGAATTAAATTTCTAATAGTCTTAGGTCAAAATTATTTTAAGATTAGTATAATTATGATGGTCTATAAAACAGTGATTTCGCTAAACTCTTAATTAGAAATATTAGTTTAACGAGGTAAGATTAGAAAAATGGCGCATAAATTAAACATTCATAGATAACCAAAATGAACACAAAATTTTAGTTCTGCGAACACTCAGCCTGTGGAATAAACTCTTTGCACTTTTTCTTAGAGATTACATTATAAGATGTTTTAAAAAGTGTGTTCTAAGATTATTATGATTTATGGTTACAGGCGTTCATAAACTACAGTGATCATTAACAAAATAACAAGATACAAGACATTGGAATATACATATTCTATTATATTCTTGGGATTTTTAAAGCTGTGATTACCCCTTTCCATCAGGAGAGTTGTCGACTTATTTGCCATTCTAAATTTATCAGTCTTTTCTTTGTTCCATCTATTTAGTGTCGTTCAAGCAAGTCTTCCTTTTAACTGATCTGTATCGGCCGTCACACCTGGGTTCTAGACAAGTGGCAAGCGAACACATCGATGGAATCGACATCGCTAGCGAGTCCGTGAGTTGGAATGAGTCATCCGGCGTTGCTATCTCATTCTGTCTCATGGACTCGCTAGCGATGTCGATTCCATCGACGAATTCGCTTGTCACTTGTCTAAAGGGCCTGAGCTCACTTCTCTTTTATACATATTATCTTTTCGATCATCTGTCTACATTTCCTTCGAATGTCCTCTCCCTTTACAGCCATTAATATTAAATTCTATATTCTTATTTGAATCCTAAATTACGAAAGTTTCTTTGTTACATCGTACCTACCACTTTTAAAGCTTAAGTAATTGTCCTGAAACTTGATTTAAATGTTATGGTATATGAGATGGAAGAAAATATTACCGCTTTTCATCCTAGCTGTGCAGACTAAAAGGTAGTAAAAATATATTTCATACTCACTGCATTATGTGCCCAAACGTAACCATCAGGGTTAATGACAGGGAATATATACCAGTCGAAATCTCTTGCAGCGGATTGAGTTTCTGTATCATTACTAGTAAGCAACTCGTTAGTGATAAAGTTGATAGTAGCTGGTGAAATCCACTCTCGAGAATGTATACCACCTTCTATGAATATAGCCTTTCTGCCAGAACCATGGGATATCTTTATTCCTTTAATGTCTCTCCCCTGGTATGAAGTACCGCCAACAATTATACTTGCTACTGAGGGATATACCGCAGCTAGATCATCTAACCAATTATAAATATCATCAAGCTTGTAATATGCTGACCACTCCATTCTAACCTTATCTCTTGAATATGTTCTAACCACATCCTTATCTATTATACTGAAATATAAAAATTACTATGAAAATTCTAAAGCACATAAATATTATAATGCAAAAGATCTTAGAATGGGATACTAATATATTTTCATCATCATCATCATCATCATCAGCCATTAACTGTTCAATGCTAAACGTAGGCCTTCCGTGGGCCGTGGCAACTACTGACAAAAGGGAAGTTTTGTCAGTAGTGGCCACGCTTGGCAGGCGGGTTGACAACCGCAGTTTGGCCTTGATGATATTTTAAGAGGGACGCTGCTGTCTATCTCTCGATTAAGTTCTTAGTCGCCTTTTATGACAATCACGGGAAAGGAAGAGGTGGGTCCATTCTATGCCGAGACCACGTATTATGGGGGAGGCCTATGTTCAGCAGTGGACACTTAACAACTGATATGATGATAATGTTGATAGACCAAAATACAGCAAGAATAATTAATAACCCTTAGGTAAATCTGGTCGAAATCTTTTTATATTCCCTAAATGTAATAAGTCTAGATTATGCATGCATCATACAAAAACTACTGGATCGGTTTTGATAAAATTTTGTGTGGTAAACATAACAAATCACCACATAAACGAAGCTAAGTTTACTAATTAGTAATAAAATTGTTAATAAGTACTCACTCTTGTATATTTCTTATTTTTATTTCATAATTAATTTCATTCTCATTTAAAACACTTTCCAACACATCTTTGTTGTCAGGACTGGATAATATTGAGACGTAATCAAGGGAAGATTTTGGATGACTCCAAAAATCGTATTTACTGTCACCATTTTGTAATTCTTGAAGTATACGCAATTGATCAAAATTTTTTGGTAACACTTTATACAAACTGTAATTTGTATATTTCACTTTTTCTCCGTAAATGCTTATTAATGAAAGATATATAATAAAAAGTGGTTTTAACATTTTTCGTACAATTTAAGATAATTGTCGAGTGTTATAATTTAATACAATTTAATTCCGCACTGATCAATTTGTAACGTTCTATGTTTGTAATTTCTGTCGTGAGTATCTTCATATCACATTCTGTTACTCGTTTAAATAAAGTACCCATTTATTTGTGTACTAATTATTTTAAATGGTCACGACGAGTAGACGTCACACTTCCGAGGATTCCGTACATTTTAAATTGAATTGTATTAATTTTATAAATGTGTTGTATAACAATGAACGGATGAATGGATTGCCAGATGGATGGTTGTTTCTCTTTCACGCAAAACGCTACTGAACAGATTTAAATGAAATTTAGTGCATAGGTAGATTGTAACCTAACATAGCACATAGGATACTTTATGTACTGATTCTCGTGAGTGAATCCACGGGATACAGCTAGTAAAGAATAATAGTACTTATGTATATCCTTGTTTTTTTATATAACTTATTATGGTAAGTAAGCTAAGCTCTGACTGCAAGTAAATATCTATCGTTTAAACATAAACAGAACTAGGACTGAATATACTGTGCCGCTCATAGTGCTCTTAAAGTGTTGCCATTGACCTGAACTATAGCATAACATGTGTTGTATGTAGACATATTAATTTATACTGTTACAAATAATAAAATATAGTCAGAAAACCAACTGATTGAAAATAGTTACATTAACCTATAGATATGAACAGTACCACGGACGTCACAGAATATACTGTGACACCCAATTTTACTTAATATAATAAAATTGTATCTAGGCAATATCTGTACATGGGAGATATTTAGGAAAAAATATATGACGAATGTTAATAAGACCAATAGAAGCGAAAACAATATTTATTATATAATTATAATATTTGCCTGTCTGTCTGTATGTTTGTTTCGTATCATGCAAGAACTACTGCACCAAACTGAGTATAGTTTTTCATTACTATATTTCTGAAGAACTAACTTAAAACGTGGTGTACATTTTATTTCGATACGTCATATTGAAGTGATCAGTTTCATTGACTCACCTCCTTTTAAAATCCACGCGTACGAAATACGCGTACGCAGGAAAGAGCTAGTGCAATTGTTAAAAATTAAACTATGAAATGAAATACCGTAGCATTTAAAATTGAAATGCTGTTCCATATGAAAACGAATGTACGCAGACACGACCAACTAGGCTGTTAGCATATTATATGAATTTGTTATTTTCTAAACTCCTATGCAATTTTATTTTTTATTTTATTTTTATTTGGTCTCCTAGCAATTGTTACACTTATAAGATTTAATATTAAAATTACTGTCTATTTATATTTAATCTACAATCATTTTAAAGGAAACACAGCATGCTAATTAACAAATAAACAATAATATGGTATAACAACCTAACCTAAACAATAATAAGGTATATATATGGATTTTTTAGATTCAATAGATGATTGCTTCACATAAGTTTTAGCTATTCAAATTAACTGCAATGCTTTCCTATAGAAATAAGGTGATGTCAACATATTAAATATGCTTTTAAATTAATAAAAATGGAGTACATTTTATCTGTTTTATTAGTTTCACGCTGGCGTGGTACCACTGAAAGCAAGTGGAGGATTGGTAATAGGGACTAGCAAGATACCCTTACAGGCCGACCTCCACATGGTTCTTTGAAACGATCGTGATTCATTTCTGATAAATTTATCCTCGGGACAAATTGGTCAACTTGTTTTCATCTGTAAAGTGATCAACATTGTTAACTCGGGGGACAGGGGTCGTCAGTAATTGTATAGTAATAATTGCTTATAATTGCTATTCGCTCGACCTCCACGCGGTTTCTTTGGGAAACCATCGTGGTTAATTATTTTTGAATTCATTGTGATGGGCCAACTGATTTGCTTCATCATTACTCATCCTCACTAGTGCCCCGCCAGTGTATACCTACCATTCTATTTTGACCTATCAAAAAAAAATTTGTTAACTGGTACTTCGCCAGCATGTTCTGATAGAGCAAGCATTTAATTCCAGTTTCATCCACATTAAAAAAGGTACCAGTGAGAACTAATCGTCTTGAGACAGATATACAGATAACTGTCGAGTTATACGGAACCCTAAAACGATAAACCGTTGTGCAACGTTATATTCTTAAATATTGATTATCGGAAGTGTCTAATACATGTTATGATTACCATATTATCTTAGTTACACAATCCATACTAATATTTACCAGAAAGTTTAATGAGTAAAAATGGAACGATAACCTCGCCAGCTATGTCAGTATATATATATATATATATATATATATATATATATATATATATATATATATATATATAATTTTTTATACCACTAAGGTAGCAAACAAGCATACGGCCCACCTGATGGTAAGATGGCCTATGAACGCCTACATTACCAGGGATATTAAGCGCGCGTTACAGATCCTGAAGAAACCTCTTTACCCTCCTTTTGAAGAACCCCAAGCATTTCTTTTAGGAAAACCTTAGTAGGGAGCACGTTCCATAACTTGAGTGTTCGTGGGAGAAAATTTCTCTGAAACAAAGCGGTTTCATCGCGACTATTTAGGCTGTAGGGTATGAGGATAAACTCTCTGTCGATGGCGAGCCGTACGATGGTAGAAAGTGACCGTGGGCATCATATCGAACAATTTTCATTGCTTTAATTTGATTGAATGCTGTCTATGATTGCGAGCAGTTTGGACTGGTTACATTGGTCACTATCGTTGGGATCTCAAATGGGATGCCTCAGCGGTGACCAAATTTGTCAAATTGTTTCTTTTATATACTTATTTTATTACAAAGTGTATTAACTTTAGGCTAATATGTCCATTGTAGCCTGTAACAAAGATATTATTTTTATTATATGTAGGACTCCCTGGAGGATAGTTGTAAGTTTTGGAACAAGACGAAGACAAGTCAGTTAGGATTACATAAGTACTAATGTGATAAATTAAAAAAAAACCACTAAGCTATGTTTGCATGTATTATTATATTTGCATGTAGTATATATTGCATAATTTTTTTTTATCAAGTAATCTTAATTAAAAAACCTACCGTTCAGTTTGGAATGCAATTTCAACGGAGAAGTAAGGGCAAGAAGCATAGCTGTTGCTTTGTCCAAATAAAAGTCGAGTTTAAAAATGTGAATGGATAAATCGTCTAACAAAAACTTCATATTGATAAAAAGTACGAAAAATATAATAAAAACTAGAATCAGTAGTTACTAAAAAGTTAGTTAGTAAAAATAGTACTCATACTAGTTAGTATGAATACTATTTTTTAATAAATCGTATTGTGTTTCGATTTAAAAAGTGGGATATGGCAATGAAAGTGGAAGACATAATAAAATGTCAAGACATGAGAAGTAACATGGGCATCTTAGTATACCTATTAAGATATTCATGATTAGTTATTGTGTGTAAATAACATTATCTCTCTAAATGGAGATAAATAAAAAATCGATTAATCGATTAAATACTTTGATTTGTTCATTCTTCGTTTCGTGATTAGAATCATTTCGTTTAAATAGCGTTTCTGTGAAATTTCAATAAATCATCAATGGTTGCCTATTCCTTAGGTCTATTAGAATAGATTATGCCTTAGTCTTTCTCTTTCCTTCAATAAAATACACTGTAAGTTTCTGTTTATATTATTTATTACATTAACATTTTACATATTTTATATTACGTTAATAAATCTTGCTTCTCTGAGAATGGCTATTACAGAGTCATATGTTTCTTCACAAGCTGGCTTAACCAGGTTAGCAGGTAGAGTGTGTGTGTTTCTTAGAGTGTATGTCGCAACTATCGGAGGATCGAAATTTTCTTTCACCCAATCACCGATAGTTCCAGTAAATGCATCTACAAAAGAGAAACAACTTGTATTAAAATTTTTACCATTCTAAAAAATAACATACAATCTTAAAACTTATTTGAAACAAAAAAAAATTGAATACTTGGTAGAAGTAGAAACTACGATGAATTTGATAATAATATCTATCGTCATGGAACGTATCCAATTTTCTAAACTTAACATCCTGATGGGAAGTGGCTTCTTTAGAACAAAGAAAAAAAAACAGAAGACTTTCTGTTCTGATTATTACGTCATCCACGAACCATGGAGTTCGTACGTTGCATGCCTTTTAAAATAATTTATACTGTATGTGCATTTCTTTGAAATAGCTTCATATTATAACGCAGAAAAAACCTCAGAAGAGAGTGTATTTTCAGCCCCCTTATGTGCGAGAAAAACATTAAATACCGACTCAGTATTGTACATCCTAAAACTGTTGATGGATTTCTACTATTTGACAAGGGGTATTTATATTATTTGTATCCTATTCTATTTTTAACCCACGTCGTTTTAGTGCTGGGTAAAAGGAGATGGGTCTGTCCCATCTCCTTCCAAAAGTACCTCTTTTTTTTGCTATTTCAAAACAATCCCTTTTAGGGCTTGGGCCAGCCTCAGCGACTCTCTTATGATTATCGTACTCTTGTTTTAATTATATTTCTATGATTAACTTACTATTAAACTCCATTGGTGTGCCAGCTAAATATTGAGTGTTATATCTGACCGAGAGTGAACCCAGTGATCTTCTCCCAATAGTAATCTGCAAATTGAAAATAATATATAAACATAGTGTAAGCTATTTGGACAGTTGGATTTATGCTCCAATTTAATTACAATTCTAGCAGAGTTTGATGGAATTTGTGAATCTGAAAGCAGATTCGTTAAATCAAATGCTGGCTACATTGTTGATGTTATTCTAGAAAAATATAAGAATATTTTTACGTAAGAACGTAAGAAACAATTTTTTGCATTCGTACTACGTTCTAGTCCAATACCATTTCACGATCAATCTAAAAGTGGTTCTGCTTACTCGATACATAATCAGTATGATAGCGTGACTCTAGCCAAAGTAAAAAGAATAACAAAGAAATATGAAGGCTCTAAAAATGGGCTAAACTATAAATTCAGTTCATCTGTAACAGATTATGTAGAAGATATGAATATTTTTGACGAGATACATATAATTTGATACAATTTAGTAGTTTGTATTCATATAAAATAATTAACTTTTATTGTTTTTTAATTAAAGTTAATATAAAAGTCCTTAAATACTAATATTAATTATAAATAATCCACCAATGCACCACACTGAAAAAAAAATTAACTTCTATAAACAATAAAATTCTAGTAAATTTTAAAAGTAAAACAGCATTTTATCTATTCTTCCCAACTGACAATGGTTTTTTTAATAGAACTACCTATTTATATCATAAAAATGACTAATTTAAAAATCCTTAAAATTACGTTCATTCGATTAAAAATTATATACATTCTATTCGAGATCAGGATGGAAAACAAATACATTCTATATTGAATCCCGAGTGATGGTAATATGACTTTAAATTCAACAATAGACGGTTTTTTATATAACCTGGAATGAAAAATAAGCTATCGACAAACCTGAGTAGACTAGCATTTGAAAATATAAATTCAATGTATTTGTGAAAAGCCACTGTGAATTTTAATGATAAAAAAATGATATCAAGAATGTAATTCCTGTTAAGGGTAGTCAGAGTGATTTATTGACTGTTGATATAAGTAACACTCAATATGCGCAAATTTCACTGTGTATATTAGTAAGTCGACGTAACAAATGACCTGCCTCAGATTGATTTCCTTCCGTTATTTATTAAGTAAGTTAAGTATGTTTTTTATATATTGGACGAAATGCAGATATGAAAGAATCTGGTAACAAAGTCTTAAAGTCATAGTAAAAAAATAAATTAATAGATTAAAAATAAATTATACCATTTGTTGATAATTATTTAAATGTTCAGTCGTGTGAGCAAATGGTATCAACAGATTCTGTCCAAATGTTCTGAATGATAGTAATCCAGTGATACGAGTATTATGGGCCAAATTCGCTATGTAGCCAGATACTAGTCTAGTCTCTATTTCCGAGAATGGTCCAGGCCCAATGTAATTGTCATGTGAATTAATAAAGCTACCACCGTGAGCTGAAAATAAAAAAAGTAGTATATATAAATACATAAATTAATTACATAATTCATATATACCTATATTTAAATATGTTCCTACTAAATATATTGGATTAAGATCTGCCTTTATATTAAAAGCAATACATTATTATCATTAAACTAAATTGCTAATTTAAGTAGTACATTCATTCATTTTAACATTTATTATATAAGTAGGTAGGTACTATATTTATTTATAGTGTATGTATTTATGTAATATTTTATTATATATTTTAATATTTTATTTAACTGTATATTTGTTTATGTTTTAATAGTTGTAGCACTTCAGCTGCCCGCTAATGACATACTTTCTCACTGTATTAGGTTGACTGGAAGAGATCTCTGTCAGAGATAAGTCCACTCTTGTTCACAACATTTATAAATGCATTATATTATATGTAACTTACAAGTGCAATAAAGAAAACATATTTCTTTTGTAATTAAACTGAGAAGTTTTATGTAAGTTAAAATAGCAAGCAAGCTGACAGTTGTCTACCTAATGGTAGTTGCATATAGACATACACGGTTCGATGAACATCACAGATCAAGAATGTGATGCTCATACGAGTATCGCAGAGTATTGTCATTTCTGAGAACTAATTTCTGGGACCAAAGATGATTTTATGCACCCGTAACTATAATTTCAGTGCCACATACTACCTATAATTTAAAATCCTTGCAAATATAGATGCTTTGCTCTTAAAATACAATCGGTACGGAAATACCTAAGCGTATGTCTTTTAAACAAAGTTTCCGTTTGGTAAACAAAATAATTATAACTGTACTTACTTCCCCAGTGTGCATTCCAGTTCTTAGTGAGATCAACACCATCTGGTACCAGACTATCGCGTCTCCTATTCTTAACCCATAGTCTGTCCTATAACAAGACACCAAACCTTTAATAACAGTTAATAAACTGTTTAATAACGGTTTATTAATTGTTATTAAACAGTTAATAAACCGTTATTAATTATATAACCATTTTTTTGCCCATCACTTCGTACACGTAGATTTTAAAAGTAGGAAAATCAATAAAATAAACCACTTCCAGACGACGTATAAAAATAAAGTATTCACCAGTTTCTAAATTAGACCTTCGGGAATACGCTTGTGAAAATCGCATCCAATTTCGTACAGTAATTTTTGCATGATATCGGTACAAACATACAGACAGAACTTACATTCAAAACTTCTAAAAACTATCGTTTTGATTTCTATTACTCTTATTATAATCTTTTTTATCAATTTTTTTCTTATATAATTGATATAAGTATTTATATAATTTTGTATATCAATAATTAGTAGTACCGCATTCGAGTATTCTGACATTTCCCTATGGAAGAGAATGCTTTTAGCATTAAGTCCGCTATGTACCCATATGTGTACTAATGAATAAATAAATAAATAAATTCCATGTACAGACATAGGCGACATCTGTACATAGTTACACACATACAGTACAACATTACAGTTACAATTTTTTTTTATACAACTTAGAATGGCAAACAAGCTGACGGTCCACCTGATGTAAAGTGGTAACCGTCGTCTATAGATATGAGCAGTACCATGGATATAACAGAGTATACTGTTTCGCCCATGATACCCCATGCGTTGCCATTCCTGAGGACTCAGGTGTTATTCCTCTATACCCTGTAAATTCACGCCATATCCCACCTTTCAAGCCGAAACACAGCCATGCAAACACAACTGCTTTACGGTTGAAACACGAATAGGACAGAGGTACCCAAGCAAACGACTTTTGTACAAAGTCTGGTAAATAGTAGTTACAATTTTATTATATTAGTAATTTGATATTGAATGATTTAAAATTCGCCTACAAAATATGTATCCTATTTTATTCATGTTTTGAGTTTTCTATCCCAACTAAAATGCAGTCAATTTAAGAATCTTCTTTAACTTTATGCAATTTGGATTGCCAAATGAGCCGAAAGCCCAATAGATGAAAAGTAATATTCGTTGCTCATACATGAACAGCACAACTAATATTAAAGAACATCCGAATATATTTTGGGATGTCTATGAGACATCCTCAGAAATGATGGGCATTCTATTGTATGTTCATTATTGTCATTCCTGAGAATTGAAATACTGATATGATTGCATTAATATATTTATTTATTTATTTTATACTTTATTGCACCAAGTAAAAAGAAAAATAACAAATACAGTAAATATTAATGAGAAGTGATACAAAAGGCGACCTTATCGCTTAGCAATCTCTTCCAGACAACCTTTGGGTAGAGGACATTGAGAAAAAGACAAAGGGTAGGTGGCGCACTATTATATAAATATTATCATATATATTCCACTTTTAGATTCCAAAACCTTTTAAATCCAAAGTCTACAAAGAATTCTTTAATAGAACTACTTCTCTCAAGATGTACTTTACCTTTATCCCTTTTTTTATAATTTAATAATTCTTAAATATTATTGCAATAAAGTTATACTTTTCCATTTAAAATGTACTTACAAAGTTTTGAGAATAATGGAAACCATCAGGGTTGATTATTGGTATGATATGCCATTCAAAGTCTTGTGTGGCAGCTAGAGCCTCAGGGTCGTCTCCTCTAAACAGTTCTCTTACAATGTACGTTAGAACAGTCGGTGATAAGCAGTCAGCACCAATTTCTCCACTTGCTAGCACGAAGACACGACTCGGAGAGCCCCTAGATATTCTTATACCGGTAATGTTTTTTCCTGAAAGTTGACAATTGAGACATGAAAGTTATACCATGACTTTAATAAATAACCAACTTCTTCATCTAGCTTAAGAGTAAAAGTGTTTTCTCACAGGAGAGAACGTAGGCTTTTATTTATTATATTAATCAGTTAGATTTGTAAAGAGATTTATTTAGTGTTCTTTGAACGACTACAACAACGACTGTTGTTACACTTAATTTTCCTACTTGTCCCTTAGTAATGAAAATAAATTATAACTTTTTGGTTTTCACTTCACCAACACACAGGTTTTTACTTTACCAGAGGAAAACTTTGTACAAAAGTCGAATGCTTGGGTACCTCTGTCCTATTCGTGTTTCTACCGTGAAGCAGTTGTGTTTGCATAGCTGTGTTTCGGTTTGAAGGGTGGGATATGGAATGAATTTACTGGGTACAGAGGAATAACATTTGAGTCCTCAGGAATGGCAACGCATGGGGTATCATGGGCGAAACAGTATACTCTGTTATGTCCATGGTACTGCTCATGTCTATAGGCGACGGTTACCACTTTCTATCAGGTGGACCGTCAGCTTGTTTGCCATTCTAAGTTGTATAAAAAAATCACTGTCGAAAAATAAGCGAATAGAGACATATTTCATTTTCAATACAGAACAACAGCAAATGATTCTTTGCGAGAAACACAGATAATGGGTAAAGTTAATGAAATAAGTCTTTTACTTCGACGACTGATATTAGAAACATTTTTCATAAGTATCTTGTAACTTTAACTCAATTTTCAAGGTATCCCTATCTTGAGGAACAGGCGATTAATGTGATTGCAGAATTTACACTTATTGTGTATTTTTTATTACGATTTAAATTTTATTTTAAATACACTATCAGGACTTAACGCGAAGCAAAATTTTTACAGGTAAATAGTACCTACATACCTGCTTCTTTATTGCTAATGTTTCAACCACGATGATGGTTAAATAATGTGAAAGATTAAAATTAACGATTTATTAACGAAACGTTACCTTCAAAACTTTTACCAATGGTAAACACATTAGCTATATCGCTATTATTTTGAGTTAATTCATTGAAATAGTTATAAATATTGTTTATACTTAGACACGCATCAAAATATACTTCGTTGATTTCTCTTTTTTTCTCCGTTCTTTGTTTTCTTCTTTTAGGTTCTTCTGCGTTTATCATTCTAAAAAAAATTGAATTACATTTAACAATATTGCTCAAAACATGATTTTATAGATTACAAAATTTAAATGGAAGTACGTACATACACTTTTTGTTTAAATAGAATTATCAAAATCGATTGAGAAATCAAATGTTAAAGGCACCTATAACATATAATATTAAGAAAGGGTGTTAAAGTTTTTAAAACTATTTGAATGTTTTTTTATTCAATGTGTTATAAACACCAAAATGAAAATTAATCGCGCACGTAATATCTCTTGTGTTACAAGCGTCCATAGAGGACAGTGACCATTTACCATTAGTTGTAATGTACACTTGTTTGTCTCCTTTGTTGTGTAAAAAAAAGCATTTGGTAGACATGCTATAATATACAAGACAAAAATAAGATATCTGTATCCTATACTAATACAACGTGTCTAACTGTATTAGCTGTGTTAAAATTAACATGGAAATGTTCAAGTACTTAGTCTTTTATCGACTCATAATCATTGGGAAAAATATTCTGTTTTATATACCATAGTATTATTAATTCATATTAGAACATCATGGTATGATCTTAAATACCAGAGGGAGACTTTGTACAAAAGTTGATTGCTTGGGTACCTCTATCTCATTCGTGTTTCTACCGTGAAGCAATTGTGTTTGCATGGCTGTGTTTCGGTTTGAAGGGTGGAATATGGCGTGAATTTAAAGTTTACAGAGGAATAACAACTGAGTCCTCAGGAATGGCAACGCATGGGGGGTATCATGGACGAAACAATATACTCTGTTATGTCCATGGTACTGCTTATGTCTATAGGCGACGGTTACTATTTTCCATCAGGTGGGCCGTCAGCTAGTTTGCCATTTTAAGTTGTATAAAAAAACAAACTTAAATAAGGAATTTAAAATCATATTGAAAACTTACTCCTGGATATTATCAGATGCCACTTTGACGGTAACGTTCTTCTCTGAAAGTGATTCTTCAAAGTTCTTCCTCATATCTGGTGGCACTATGACACTGACATAACTTCCAACTATTGACGGTTCAGACCAAAACTTCACACCATCTGGTTTTTCATATAGCTCTCTGATATACGCCATATCCCTCTCGTTTTGTGGTAAAACTTCGTACATAGCATATTTATTATAATTTACTCTCTGTGCTCCCGTCAACAAAATTATATTAAGTATTATTATATTAAGCAACATTTTCAATTACATAGGTGCAATTTATCGATACTTAATAAGTGATTGCTCAATTTGTAACTGTTTCGATAACAACGCAAATTTTAAGCTTATCTTTAGCCTATCTGTTAAAAAATATCTGAAGGTTATAGATATGACAGTTAAATTATGTGGCACATGTTGAAGTCAATAGATTTTAATTAATGATAAAGAATGCGATTAGTTTTTTGCCATCTGTTAGAAAATACCTCTGCCTATTGTACTTACATACCTAATAAGTATTTGTTTGCTAGTAACATTGAACTAAACCATAGTTTTTTAATAGATAGTTAACTAACGTTGCAGTATGTCAATACTAGGTTCTAATGAGTTAATAAATAATGTACAAAAATTACCCGTAACCTGTGTGTGTGTGCGTGCATGCGTGCGTGCGTGCGGGCGTGCAGGCGAGCGTGCGTGCGTGCGTGTGTATGTGTGCACAAGAACGAGTACATTTTATTCCACATAAGAAAACATCTACTTCAATTATGGCAAAATAAGTTATTGTGGTTAAAAAATACTGAACCGATTATAATGAAATTTTTATGTAGTCAATCTGCAAGTTTATCTTTTCAGATAATAAAAGAATTTTCAAATCAGTTCGTAAATAACAGTGTTATGTGGTAACAAACGTAAAAAATACAACCAAATTGGGATTCTCTCCCTTTATTTGAAGTAGCTTGAATATACAATGTCTTTTAAAATCATAATACGTTTTATTGGCTGTTTACATAATACAATTAGAATACAAAATACCCGGCATACGAAAACTCGTTAAAACTCATCCCCGATTTAAACCTTCGAACGACCGAAAACCGATGCGCAGCGTTAATTTCCGTTGCAAAATAAAATACCGCCGAACCTCACCTGTCAAAATGTCAACAGTTAAAAATGAACTGCAAAGTGGCCTCTCTGCAGCCTGGCTAATTACCTAGCGGCAATCAATCTTGTAAATACACTGAACAAATTGTGATTGTGACCGCCAACCGGCGGGGGCTTTATCAAAGCACATTAACAAATTTATGATCAGCCCGCTGGTATTAAGTTTTACCTAATTTTGTACTGGCCTATTTATTTTATGCCAGGTCTATATTCTGTATTAATATTATAAAGAGGTATAATATGAGTTTTTGTATGTTTTTTTTTATAATGGATAAACTCGAAAACTACATAACCGACTCTTTAACTATAGAGAGCTTCATTACCAGCCAGTAACATAGTAATATTACAAATTAAAAGTACATAGTAAAATTACAAAGAAATAAGAGATCCTTAAGAAAATTTAAACAATAAAACCCAAAATATTAAAAAATTGCCTATTATATCTAAGAAACAGGCCCTCTAGACAAGTAGCAAGCGAATTCGTCGATGGAATCAACTCGCTAGTGATGTCGATTCCATTGACAGACTCGCTTGTCACTTATCTAGACGGCAAGATCTGTTCTAGAATGGAGATCGCGAAACGACAACCGTAGACGACCTGCGACAAAGTGGAGCGATCACATTACGCACATCATTTGCGGGGTTGCAGGTAATAACTGGCAGCGAAAAGCCGAAAATTTTGTTCAGGGGCGGGCCAAGAGACCTATGTGGAACAGTGGACTGAAGTAGGCTGACTGCGATGACGATAATGATTAGATATTATTATCGTCATCACAGTCAGTGAATACTAATTTATCCATTAGCTCGTGCCAAGCAGGAGCAGACCGCTAGTAGATGATTTTCTATTTTTATATCTTTTTAACATATAGAAATCCCTCTTGAAAACTCATTGTCCATGGAAAAATGAGTGGATACTTCCGATTTTTGCCAACAGGATGGTGAAAATCCTCCGATGTTGTAGTTCCTCGTTATAATAGACGATAAGGATTATGGGTTTTGTCCGACGAACAGGCTCCTATTTGTTATATGGGGGAACTCCTTCTAGTTTCTCCTTCTCCGCCCTCTAAATGGATCCACTGAAATATCTACTATGCTCCCCTGCTGCAGACGCTCCAATAAGCGTTCCTTATACCAACTACCACTCTTTGCGTACCGATCCTGATAACTGCCAAACGAACCATTTCTCGTGGATCTATGGAGCAAACCAATAAACTGCAATGAATGGACTAATCTGAACTGGATCTAAACTAGGCTCTTGGCTAATTGCCTTTCCTGTATATTAATACCAGTAGTAAGCTAATTTCCACCACTTAAAAGGAAAAACTGATGTCTACCAGTGTTTGAAATTCATAAAAGTACAATACAAAATCATTATCACGATTTTTTCATGTCATTCGTTGTGTTGCACACGGACGGTCGGCGTGGGCATCGCTAATTGTGATTAATGGTCGTTTGGTCGCGACGTCGTTTGTCTTGCGACTCCCATCGCGACAGACAGTTTACTTTTCACCCTGCGGCTTGCGGGCGTTGCAGACATGCGATTTTACTAATCTGAGATTAATTCAGCAAATAAGCTTTTAATTAAGAACAATCACGTGTACAAATTGATATTATTGTATTTGTATTATGTATTTTAAATGTTTGTTTTAATAGGATTATAAATTACTACTTGGCCATATGATGGAAAAATAGCGACAGATGTTAAATTTGCAGGAGTTTAAATAATATCGTTAGCTTATTTTCCATTCTAAGTTGCTTAAAAAAACCCAGTTTTTTCATTTTATTGACAGTTTAATTTCAACTTGTGATGACAAAATATTAAATTAAAAAAGTCTATTTGCGGTGAAACTTAAACTTATTATCTTTTTATATCAGCTCTATGGTTTATTGCAGTAGTTTATTATATAGCTATCTATTTGCAAATATGAACAAATGAATAAAATGTCGGATTCCTCTAAATTGTATATTAGGATATTCTGCGTCGGCAACTCGCACACGTCATGACTAGTATTATAGGCATTTACAGGCTACAGTAATCGTTTACCGTCAGATAGGTTATATATACTAGTTTTGCCACCTTCGTGTTAAAAACAAAAAATAAATAAAAACTATTGATTTTGAAGCCACTGTAAAACAGGCAGACAAAAAAATTTTTGTCACAAAAAACACTAAACATCCATATTTTTTTGGACCGTGTTTAAATCGAACAAGAAAATATTTTATTATAAAAAAGTAATTAATAAAAATAACTTTCATTAGATTTATGTAATGTCAATAAATTTACCATGTGATCCCACTACCACCCTTATTTTTCCATGGGTGTCGTAATAAGAGGCAACTATAGGAACTTATTGGCCGAGGAATTGACAACAGCGTCCCACTTAAAGTATCACCAATGTCTAAAGCGTGAGAACTACTAGCAAAATCCCCCATGGGGGAGGCTTATGTTCAGCAGTGAACAATTAATAGCTGATTTGGTGATGATGAACGTCAATAAATATGTGGAAAGTAAAAGTATTTTCACCAAAACTAGTTCGGTTGCACGTTTTAGTCGCAAGTATGCATTACCCAGCCTCAGTTATACTAAATCTGCTGTTTAAACCGCATAATTATTGCGTACCGCAACGTTCAATGTCTAAATCTAAGCTACTGTTATTCGTATACGCGATTAATGCGCCGAAACGGTTCGCGCTAAATTTGTACTGTCGTGATACTGCGGTTTTGTTTATTAAACGCGCCTACGTTTTAGGAGACTCAAGAAATGAAATCCATAGGAAATATGAATGTTTGTCACAAGACTGTGTTCACCGTCTGTTGCAATTTTCTAAATAAATTTTAAAAATAAGTGAAATCGATTCTAAATTTCGAAAACTTAATCTAGATAAAATTTTGCTAATATCGTAAAAAATACACCAATAAATAAAGTTTGACAGAAACTCACAAATTAAAAACGACTTCAATTGCGACAAAAGCCGTTATTCTGTTCTAAAAACTAAACTACGGAACCGTTATTAATAAAGTTTGTATGCGACCAATCTGTAAGTATTTATTTATTTAACTCTTTGTTGTACCATAAACAAAAATATACAATGACAAGTGAATAATTCAAGTAAAAGACAGTAACATAAACATAGATTGAAATATACATATAAAGGTACAAAAGGCGGTCTTATCGCTAGGGCAATCTCTTACAGACAACCTTTTGTTAAAGGAGAACAGATAGAAGTGGGTAGGTGGCGCAAGAGTGAATTAATAATTTTTCGTGCATAAAATACAAAAACCTATAATGCACAAATATATCAAATACATATAATTTATTAAACAACTTACTATAATGTACTTGTAACTTACTATATGCTTTGAGACAAAAAAAATAATTTTTCGAGTCGATTTACAACTGACTGAATTATGAGGTATTTTTTTAAATGTCTTCCACGTACAGAAAAAATCTAGTTAAAATAAGATTTTTTAAAAATTATTATTTTAACTCTTGTTGCCCCTATTTAACCTCATTACAGCATTTTTTATAAATAGATAGATAGATTCTCTTTATTGCTTCCACCATAAGATTACAATTTGTAAATATCTCTCATATACAGACAGACATCGTTCAGTTACAATGTTATCGTATTAGTAAATTTAAATCTCTCTTTTTTTTTATACAACTTAGAATGGAAAACAAAGCTGACGGCCCACCTGATGGAAAGTGGTAACCGTCGCCTATAGACATAAGCAGTACCATGGACATAACAGAGTATACTGTTTCGCCCATGATACCCCCCATGCGTTGCCATTTCTGAGGACTCAGGTGTTATTCCTCCGTACCCAGTAAATTCACGCCATATCTCACCCTTCAAACTGAAACACAGGCATACAAACACAACTGCGTCACGGTTGAAACACGAATAGGCAGTTGTTCTCTGGGCAATATTATTTTTATACTTGTATGTATTTTGTTTGCAACCGGTTTGTATTTTGCTTCCTTTTTATGCCTATTGTGACCTTTTCATCGAATATATTAAAAGCCACCGACCCGTAAACAACTAATCAAATAACCCCCTAATAATAAAAGAACGGAAAGATTTTATTAAAATTTTCACCGAGAGAGCTTTCATAGTTCCCAATATTTATGAGAGATAAACCCTAGCTTTCATTCGGCTTGATT